GGCGTCTAGCTCTGCCTCCGCTCCCGGCCCACTGGAGCTAGAGGCATTTCTTCACTCAGACAGCTGCTGGCTGCTGAGGCTGCCAAGCCCAAGGTTGACAAATCAAATGGCACAGTCCCAATATTACCAAATCATATGGCAGACCATTAACTTAAATCTGTTGTAAGTCCCAAGGTCAGTAGAGTATGGCAGGCTGCTGAATAACAACATGGCTACATGCAGGGTCCAAGTGTGCCACAAGCTAGAGACCATTGCCAAAGCTGCTGCTTATATATGGTAAGCAGATCATATACCCAAAGGCAGCTATTCACCTGCTTGTGGTAGATCCCACCATGGAGTTGATTGTCATTCTTATCATGGGGAATAACTACCACCAGGTGCCCAGCCCCTCAACCAGGCCCAGCCAAGTTGACACACAAACATAACTACCACAGTGGTCAACTATCTAGTTAGTTTCAGATTTTCCCTATTGTCCATACACTTTTTCCCTTTTTAAAAAAATCAGATTCCAAATAAAGTTCTTTCATTGCAATTGGTTGATAGGACTCTTAAGACTTCTTTTAATCTCTTGGTTCGACTGCATTCTCTTTCTTTTTTTTTCCCTTGTGATTTGTTTGTTGAAGAAGCAGGAGAGTCATGGTTTTATTTTGAAGTTTCATGTAACAACGCCATACTTCCCTGGTTGTTATCTGTCTAGTAATATTAGCCATATGGAAGAGTCAGACTCTAAAAGCAGGGGTCAGCAATTGCTGGATGTAAGATAATAAACTTCTTCAGGCCATAAAAAATCTTCATAAGGCTATAAAATTGCTGTAACAAAGCCTAAAACTTAATTTTTTAAGAGACAACTAGAGTCATCCCTTTTTTGTTAGTCCCAAGTGACTGATTTAATGTATAATATTTAATTCTGTCTCCTACATTTCTAGTGTAGATTATCCAGAGAGAGGGAAGGCAGTAGCAACTTGCAGAGTAGAGGACTGAGGGTGCTACACTGACATTAGTCAGGAATGGCAGTGGGACCAGAAGAGAGAAAAACCAGGTAGATCTGAACCACAGCCTTGGTCCGTCTGGTGTGGCAGCAGTCACCTTCCACTCTCAGCAGCCTCTGAGGCTATCCCTGTGTTAACAGCACTCATCAATAATATTCCTAATGGCCCTGAGCCAAGCACAAAAGGTTATATTTTATTCTTTATAAACTGTTCACTAAGATTGGGAAAATCATAATACATTTACAGAAGAATTGTAAAATAATCCTTTTAAAGCATGTTATTAATCTTACTATTATATTAAAAAAAAAATACCAAAAATACTCTGATATTGTGCTGAGTAGCCAAGGTTATTGTAGTGTATAGAGCAGAACACAGAGGTCAGTTTGTGAGATATTGGAATAATTCTTAATACTAAGTAATATATTTTTTTCTGCCTTTTAACATAAGTTTGATATGTGCTATCAGTATTGCCATTTTGTCATTCAAATGCTTATGGCGTCTGCACTTCTGTTCAGGGAATGGTAATAGCAGAGACAAAACGTCAGATGCATGAAACACTGGAAATAAAAGAGGAAGAAATTGCTCAACTTCGTACCCGCATCAAACAGATGACTACCCAAGGAGAGGAATTACGGGAACAGAAAGAAAAGTCTGAGAGAGCTGGTAAGAACTCAGGGGTTATTTCATTTTGTTGGAGCTCAAAAGAACTTAAAATGCGTTATCAACATAAAAAAAAAAATTGGTTAAATACTATAAAATGCATAACTGTAATGACCCTTTATAAAACACTCAACTGCTTCTTAGAGAAGGCATAGCTGTACCTTGTGGACCAAATCTGACCCCTGGTCTGTTTATACATGACCCTCAAGCTAAGAATGGTTTTAATCATTTTAAGTGGTTGGAAAGAAAGAAAAGAGGAGGAAAATGTTATGGAGAATACATGTGGCCTGCAAAGCCTGAAATATTTACTATCTGGACCTTTACAAAAGTAAAAGTTTGCTGACCTCTGCCTTAGAATAATCATAAATTTAGAGTTATAATTTTACAACTGATTAAGTTACAGGATGGTACATATTTAATGACTACTACTTTATAGAAGCTGTAGGATAAACAAAAAGCTTAAGATATAGTATGCTTTTAAAGGGAATACATGAATAATTCAGTGTTATATATAATAGCATTATGTTTTGACACAGTAAGTGCTAGTCTGTGAAGTATAGAAACTAGCAAGGTAAATACTGAATAATGCTAGGAATGGAGAAATGTTAGAAAGAGGAGAGAACAAGGTGAACTCTGATGCCTTCATGCCATGGAGGATGTGAGCCTGACTTAGGCCTCAAACAGTGAATAGAATGGGTCTCAGCTAGGAAATGAAGTAGGCACAGACACCCCAGTGGGTGTGTGAATCAACAGAAAACCATTTTTGCTGAACTGGCAAATGCAGTTGGACTGCAAAGGAACTGACTATTGAATTCTTATCAGGTGAGTAGCTCAGTTTAGACTTTGATGTACAAGACAATAGGAAACAGTAGTAGGAAGGCATAGTGTGATGGAAGCTAGTGTTTTATGTAGGAAGAAATGAAATCAGAAATCAAACATAGAAGGAAAGAAAGAAAGAAACTCAGGTTTGAGGTGCTGGAGCACCTCAACTAGGATGATGGCTAGGATGATGGATTTGGAAAGGAGAGGAAGGATAGAATCTACAGAATTTGGTATCTGATCAACTTGGAGGGGCAAAGGAGACGTAGTTATCTAAGATGACTCCAAGGTTTTAAACTTAGGAGACTGAGTGAATAGTGTTATTGACAGAAACTGTAAAGTTGGAATAGGTAATCTAAATGGGGAAGTTGAGGATTAGAGTTGAGCTGATCAAAAACTTTGCAAAGGCAAATGACTTTAGGAATTTGGAAATAAGAAACTGGGTAATACCTCAGGAATCATTCATTAGCCTAGAATTGAAGCCTATGGTTTAATTCATAGGAGAGGTTGATTTCTCCAAAAGATTAGTTTTGCAGTATTTGACAGCTACTACTTCCGTAGTGATATTGCCTAGGAAACTCAAGGAGGGGTCACTATGAGTTGGTTTGACAGTATGTTGGGTTTTTTGTTTTAAGCTAAATACTATAGCACTTCAGAACTGACTCGAAGGCAACGTGTTTACAGCTGTCACCACCATTGTTGCCCTTGTTGTTAGCTGTGAAGTAGATTCCAACTAGCCAACACTTAAATAGCAATTACTTTATGCAAGGCACTATTATAAGTGTTTTATTTGTATTTACTTGTTTATTTACTTATACTTAATCCTCACAATCTTATGAGATAGGTACTATTATTATCCTCATTTTTCAAGTGAGAAAACCTAAGAACGCAGAATTTAAGTAACTTGCCTACATTTATGCACAGAGTGTAATCAAGCATTTTGACTCCAAACTCTTGTTCTCTTAGCCATGGAGGGTTTGAGTTTGGCAGAGAAGTAAATGAGGAAAAAAGAAAGAAGTTTCTCAAGAAGTTAGGAATTGTGCATAGTTATGCTTTTTTTGGGGAATGTAAGTAGTGTTTCAAGAAGTGGGGGAGGTAGAGGGTAAAGATTTTGAGAGGTCTTTGAATTTGGTAAGGATTTGATTTTGAGAATGCAGTTTCAGAAGTGATTTTAAAAACCAGATTATAAAATGTTAGGAAGATAATGGGTCTGGATGAGAGAGATAGTTGGTTGACACCAAATGTGCTCATAAATACCTTCCCATCTCTTTGCACTTGTTTCAGTGGTAACAGTGGTTGGGCACTTTAGTTAATGAATTCGTTCCCAGTAAACCTAAGAGCATTTCCCTTCAAAGAGAGTTGATAGCATCTTTTAGAACTTAATCTTTGAATGCTTAACTTGAAGCAGGTTGAGAGTTGTGAGACATTGTTGAACAGGTTTGCTTTTCTTGGACCAAAAACCTAATGCTTGGTCTCCGTTTCTCACTCACATCAAGCCTTTCCCTTTTCAGGACTGCTTTTGTTTACTGCTGTAGCCAGTTAAGAGAAAATAATGTTGGTCAGAAGGTTAAGTTTCATTTTAAAATTGGAGTGTGCCTTGTGAGGAATTAGAAACCCATGAATAAATATCAAATTAAAAGGCGTAAATGATTAAAAGGTAGATAAAATATACAGTTAATTCACATGCAGAATAAATTTTTTTCCAGATAATTGTTCCAGTCAAATCTTACTAGTACAGTTTTTCTTCCCTTACTTCTCCAAAACACAGAAGTTACATGTTTTATCTTTAAATGTGATTTTCCTAAAACTATATTTTTATAGATATTTAATAGCCTATAAGTTGAGAGATTTTTGTTAATAGTACTGTCAGAATAGACAAAATAATTAATTAATAAATGCCAAGTGAGAATTAAGATTTGAGTTATTTAACTAATGCATTCACTTTAGAAAGTTCGTGGACACACAGTTAGTTATAAGTGCTTTCGTAGGTACTTTAAAAAATTATATTTGTAGTTGTAATTATGAGAGACGTGTTAGAAAGGTGTAACAGACTAGTTTCACATTGAACATACTGCCTTTTAAATCTAAAATGGAAAATAGTTTTTATACACAACTGCATTTTATCAAATGGTGTTGACTCTGAACAGAATGGTTCTAACAGAAAAATTCCAATTTAAGTATTAAAAATAAGAAAAAGTCAATGTAAAGGAAGTAAGGTTTCCATAAACTGTCTTTGAACATCATTTAGCTTTTGGAGTATGCGATTGCTTGTTAAATATTTGTCTTTCTCTTTATTAGATTTAAAATTCAAAGGTTAAAAACTTAAGAGCTGGTCATATAAAGGAAACATTAAGGTCTTTAAAGCTTGTAGCCATTAGGAGTTTTAAAAGTGAATGTGTCTATATAAAGTAATTATCAAAAAACATGAATTCTCCTAATGCATTTTCTTCCAGAAAAAAATTTAATTCTGATGTTGTTAGTATTTTTTGATGTGGTTGGTTATTAGCAGACAGATAACTTCTTCTTTGGCTTGCTTATTCTGGACCTCAGAATTGGCCTCACTGCTTTTCTTGGAAAACAATCTCTTGCATTCTCCTCTTAGTTTTCTAGATGAACTGATGCCTGCCATATGTTAGAGAAGAAAGGAAATTTCAGTATCTCTGATTAAGAATAATTTTCTAATAAAATAGTGAGACTGAATGTGGTGGCATGCCTACTTCAGGTGCTGTATCAACCTGTAGTACTTGAATAGTCTCCTGTGTAGTGGAAATGTTAGGTATGCTTTTCTAAGTTTGTGATACTGTAATACTCTCATTTTGTTAAAATTGCTTATTTCAGTGAATAAAGAAAATAAAAAATAAATATGTTTGTTACAAGTACTGTACTACAACTTTTCTTAGTATTCCTTTCCAGGTGTTACTTAAGTATTTAGCACATATGGTCATATTTTCAGGTAACCAGATTTTAAACTTAAGACACCTGGTGTTTCAGCTTTAAGTGCATAATGCTCTATTTTAGGTGCTAGGTACTATAATGATTTGTCTAGAGATTTACATCCTAAATGCTACACTAGTAGAGAATGTTAAATGCTTCTGAATTTCACACGGGGTCTTGCTCTCTTGTGTCTGTGGGTGTGTTTTAACCAGGAGAGGAGGGGAGAAAGCTGGTCAACAAATTGGAAAATAGAAAAAATGAGAACACATCACTGTTGTTTCAGTGCACTTCCATTTAGTCTTTTTCCAAACCTTATTTTTACATTATTGTAATCATATTGTACATACAATTTGGTATGCTGCTGCTTTTTTTCCCATTTAGTCTTATATCAGGAGTACTTTTACATGTTGCTAGAGTACTAACATTTTAATGGCTGTCTTACTGCATGTATGTACATCATTTAGTTAACCATTTCCTGTTAATCAGCATCTAGATTATTTTATATTTTTGCTATTCTAAATAATTCGGTAGCAACTTTGTAAAATAGATTATTTCATATCTTTGAATTTTTTCTTAAGAGTAAATTCTTACCCATTATCCTTTTTGTTAGTGACTTTTAAGTTATATAAATATAGCCATTACAAATAAAAGAATCCACACTTCAGTGTTGTGCAGCCCCCTGCCTCACTAAAGTGTTCTTGGCGTCAGTTATGCAAAATGAATAAATTATTCTGTTTGAATTAGGCAGATTTCCACAGTGCACTAACTTTTTAAACCCCATTTCCCTTTTATGTACCCTGTCTTTGCTGAATTTATCTGTTTTGTATGATTGGCTGCATTAAAAAACTTGGATTAACTCATAACATTCTTTGCTTTTTTTATTGCCATGTTGTGTTTGTTCAGGAAATAAGATTTTTATTCATTTGTTAAGCATAGGCCTAATATACCAAAGACATTCAGTGGGACATACTTATTTGATGTTTGAAAGACACTTTGAAAGAGAATTTATGTCTTTAAATAATGTATAAGATTTATGCATATTTATATAACAAAACCAAAATCACATGTGTATTTAAGTACTTTGTTAGTTGTTGATAGTTGATGTAACAGTTTTCTTATAGTCTTGAATCTCACAAAACATCTTACTTTTGTGCATCCACACATGCCAATAAGTGAATCATGGTGCCTTTCCCAAGCCTTGTATGAACAGGACTGGGGTAAGGGCTGTTTTTTCTTATCATGAGTACCTA